GGGGGGGGGGGGGGGGGGGGGGAGACTTACTGGCGCCACAAGTCCAGAAGACGAGTTTGGTGTTGTACGGAAGTGCACGGTAGCTTGCGTAGACCGAACCTTCTTTCCCGCCTCTCTTTCCGGGTCGGGGTTGTGGTGGTGGTGATTGGACGGGGGATCGACGGGTTGGCGGTGGGGGTGCGTTCTTTTGCAGCACCGGTTGCGAGGCGCTGGTGGGGGTCGATGTGCGCGGTCGCAAAAGTCGCACCGACGATGTGGAGAGAGACCGAGATGGCACGAATGCCCGTGAAGCAAGTGTCGGATTCATCATGCTCAGCCAGAGATCAAGGTCAAAGAGCAAGATCAAAGGCGATGCAAATATTTAGGGTCGACAACTTTGCCGGGACTCGGGGCCAATTTTCTCCACCACCATCAAACTCCACTCGTGATTGCGCGCAGAGCATACGATTTCGAATGATAAGGATATTGGCATGGTCTAGGCAAGCGCGGCATTCCACTCCGCCAGCACCCTTCGCTGCACCTCATCCACACCTTCACCCTCGGCACCAAGCTCTGCGAACTTGGCGTACGTCTCTACGACCGTCTCGGCAATACGTGCGCCGAGCATACGCTGCACCTCGGGGTCTTCGATCCACGTGCGCACCTTGGCCGCCTTTTCCGGCAGCACGCTGGCGATACACGTGTCAAAGGCATCCTTGGTCGAGGCGTACCTAGCATCTTGCACCGCAGGCTGTGTGTGCTGGTCGATGTACACGCGCAGGGGGAGGACGATCGCGCCGGCCCACAGCGATGCGGTGCGCGAAATCAGTTGGTGCATCCGCGTCGAGACGGCGTCCGTGCTGCGCTGCATATCCGCACCCTCCACATGCTTGTGATTTCTCGGGTAGAGAAGGCTGGCCGTGTTGGTCCACAGCGTGTTGATCGCCGTGACCAACGACGACGTATCGACCATGGAGCGCGTTGCCGCATCGCTTTCCGAGGCGGTTTCTGGCTTTTGGCGCAGCACAAGGTCGGCCGACACCCCCGCCTCGCGCAGGATCTCGCACTGGCGCAACTCGAACAACCACGCATCCTCCTTCTCTCCCCCTCGCTTCCCCAGCGCTGCTGCACCTTTGGCGATGCTAAGCAGACATGCGTCAATGGCGGCACTGGCGATGCGACGGAAGGCGCGTGCGGCGACGCGAGCTTGGAGGTGAAAGAGCACCTCGAGCAGCGTACGCACCGGCGTGTAGTACGTACTTGCCAGTGCAGGGGGCATGGTGAACAGCGCCACTTTGTCGTGCGCCGCACTCGACGTCGATGCGCGCGAGGCCACCAACGCTGCATCCAACAATCCCGCCCCGGACTTGCCGCGCTGATGCCCCGCACCCGCGCGCGCCGACGAACGGTACGCAAGAATGCGCTCCGGGAAATCCAGCTCGCCCTCGTCCACGCTGGGCGTAAACTGCGCAATGTCCGAGACGACCACCTGGTGGGCTCGTGCGGACAGCCGCGATTGCACCTCGTCCACCAAAGCCTGCATGCTGCGCGCCCACGCTGCGTCCGCCTCGTCCATGTGGATCGCGTCGCAAACGACCGAGGCGGTGTCGGCGAGCACAACCAGGTCGTGCTCCTTGGCGAGTCGCGGCCGCAGACGCGATGCGACCGCCTCGGTGAGCTCGCCGAGGTATGCGGCCAACTCGGCATCATGGCGTGCTGGCTGGTCGGTGCTGCTGTCGGTGCCAAAGAAGCGCTGGTAGAGACGGTGCTCGGAGCGCACGACGTGGGCCAGCAGCTGCGTGGCCGTGCGTGCGAGCGGGACGATGGCCGCGCCCGGTTGGCTGGCGGCGTTGGCTTCCGCCTCGGCGATCCGCTGCGCGAGCAGGCGCGACAGCAGCGGACGGCGCGTGTGGTACCATGCGGCGCGACACTCTTGCAGCAGCGACTCGAACTCGGCTGCCGTCGACGCGGCGGGTGCATCGGCGGTGCTCGCCGCGCGCTTAGCCAGCTCAAAGATGAGCGGGCGCAGCTTGGTGACCATCTGCCCGGCGTCTGCAAACAGGATCTGCGACGTTTCCTGGCTAATCGCCGACTGGGGCAGTTGCGTGATCTCGCGAGCTTTGCCCTTGACGTCGGTGTCGGATGTGGCGTGGGCGCGCGACGATGCGAGCTGCTTGAGTCGCTGTGAGGTGTGTTCTGCGTGCGCCTTGATATCGCGCACCACAGCCATCTTTGCGAGCGTAGCCGCACGCGTGACGCACTGTGCATAGCGCATGCGGTAGAGCTGTGCATCCCTGTACGTGCGCGCCGGCTGCTGGTTGAGAAAGAGCAGCGCCATCTCGAGCTGGTCCATGAGCTCGAGGAAGGCGCTCGAGTAGACGATGTTGGCGTCCGGCGAGCTGAGCATGTTGGTGGCGTACGGCAGCAGCGTGAAGAAGCTCAGGCGCGACGCGATGTCTTCGGCGAGCGTGTCGAGGTGCGTCTGCGAGTCGAGCAGCGCCTGCGCCTGTTCGCGGATGCCGCGCGACGAGTCGTGCACAAACGCCGAGCCGGCGCGCAGCTCGGCGACGTTGATCTGGCATGCGTCGAGGTGGGCGAGGAGCGAGTCGGCGGTGGAGGTGGTGTGTGCGATGTGCGTGAGTGCGTGGATGTGCGACGAGTGCGTGGACGAGCTGACCGAGTCCGACAGCTGCGTGTACCACGCGAGGAAGCTCTGTGCGGATGCGAGCGGTGCCGATGCGTCCGGAAGCGCAATGGGCTCGGAGGCTGTTGAAGGCAGCAGCGGCGTTTCGTTCACATCTGCCGATGGAGTGGACGTTTCAACGTTGCTCGACGATGCTTGTAGTTGCTGCTGCTGCTGCGACTGCGACTGCGACTGCGACTGCG